GGAAAGGAAATTTCTGCGGCACTCCAGACGACTGTATTGTTCTGCGAGTTTTAATGAGTGCCCCTTCAGGTTTGTATTGCTGCTGAGTTACAGTAAAGGGCGGCACACATGATGTGGGTCTCGCAGAATCAAGTATGCCATAATCAGGTCGCCTGGTAGTATGCGACAGCTTCCAATGAACCCCCCAATCGTTGCGGCCTCTCCTGGTAGGAAAGATTGTGCATTCCAATTACGTTTTTAGATGCCCGACGTTGTGGCTGCTCCAGTGCATTAAGGTCGTATTTCAGCCATGGATGCCATGCTTGAATTGCGTATTCGACATGGGGGCGAACATACGCACTGAGCATTTGTCGAAATATGGAGCTGTTTATTTGTCCAAACGTCCGTCGCAACAGCCCGATGTGTTGGTTCCCGGTATTCGAGGCCTTTTCGGATTGTCTGGAGCTGTACAAGCATGTTAATAGCCTACGCAAGGTGAGGAAACTCTCGAATGTGACTTGGGTGTCCTGGTTTAAGATGACTTGGGTTGCTCCAGACGATCGGAAAAGGCCTCGAATACCGGGAACCAACACATCGGGCTGTTGCGACGGACGTTTGGACAAATAAACAGCTCCATATTTCGACAAATGCTCAGTGCGTATGTTCGCCCCCATGTCGAATACGCAATTCAAGCATGGCATCCATGGCTGAAATACGACCTTAATGCACTGGAGCAGCCACAACGTCGGGCATCTAAAAACGTAATTGGAATGCACAATCTTTCCTACCAGGAGAGGCCGCAACGATTGGGGGATTCATTGGAAGCTGTCGCATACTACGAGGCGACCTGATTATGGCATACTTGATTCTGCGAGACCCACATCATGGGTGCCGTCCTTTACTGTAACTCAGAAGCAATACAAACCTGAAGGGGCACTCATTAAAACTAGCAGAACAATACAGTCGTCTGGAGTGCCGCAGAAATTTCCTTTCCATTCTTGTCTGTCATCAGTGGGATGCTCTCCCAGAATCGGTCGTCTCTGCACCGACACTAACAGGATTTAAAAGACGGTTGGACGATGCACTCATCCACTTACACTTTGTTACTTAACACTACGTCTCTATCCTCCATCTGGAGTATACCATGGAATTATCTGTTGCTAACTGTGGGTACTGTGAACCTAAGAGGATCGCAGAACTACAACGGAGCAAACGATAAGTCCTCATTTTCATATTTAAATTATTAACTATTTTACTATCCTTATCATTATTGTTGTTATGTTGATATCCCCACCAACTATCCAACGGAACTTGTAAAGCAACGCTTCTTATCTCGTATAAATTCATCGTTCATTGTTTATTGTCTTAGTTCTGATCACTACAGCCAACTCCTGGATCTTGAGTGCTCAGCTTGGTAGTCGAAGAATACTTAGGAATTCCTTTGAAGTAACCAAGGATCAAACGCTTTGCTAGTTGCAGTGATTGTATTACATGTAACTGCTATAATCAGCATGAACCATTGTTGCTGAGACGACATTTCGGTCTCAACATGTCATCTACTGCTAAACTGACTTGGACGTTGATTTCCAGTGCTGCATCAGATGCAGTTGTGATCCGCTCGTTACTCACCCGAAATCCATGTGTATGTCATTGCTCAGCTCCTTTATGCCATTCCTGCTTCTGGGGAACAAATCAGAAACGGTCAATAGGTGTGCAGTTCTGTAGTTCATCCATAAGTGTACCGAGTCGTTGCAGAGGTTCAAACTTCAGGTACCCCAGGGAGTGTAACCCCACTTCACTGGTCGTCGCCATGCAGAGGTTTGACATTTGGATCCCCTTGCAACCACAGCACTTAGAACTCGTGGGATTGTGCCATTTAATGTATTCGAATGTGCGCATCTAAGCTGACGTTTCAAGCCCCTCACGTCTGGTTAAGTGTACCGGCAACTTCGCGACTTGATACAAGCACGGATTATGTGTATGCTTTGGAGTACGTCATTAGTTCTATCTTCTATAGGTTATTCATAGAAAAACTTCTTTGATTGAATCCGGAAATATCCGGAATTGGGTCTGCTCATTTAGACGATCTGCAAGCACTAAATCTTAAGCCTGAGAGATGCGAATGTGGAGTACAACACAAACAGTTGGAAACATCAGGAAAATGCGACTAAGCTGCAACAGCCTGCAATATAACAAAACTGAACAGTTGCTTTGTCCAGCAACTATTTGGAATTGTACATTTACATCCTTGTAAGACTGCTGCTCATCTGTGCTACTTGACTTGGCCTCAGGTGAGGTCAGCCTGGTGCAATGTCTATGGATATATTCGTTGTTTATTTATCTGTTTACTCACTGATGTAGTTATTTAGCGTCTTGCATGCTTGTGCCCTTCAAATACCTCTAGTCCCACAACTAAGCAAAGGAGATGAGTACTTTATCATGATCTTGCAAAAAGACTGGCCAGCTTTCGAAACGTTAAGAATGTGAATGATAAGAGCACTCCAGTTCAGTGAAAGGTGTGCCATACACCGGAGTTTTCTTATCGACTCAAGTGATAGTATGCAACAATTGACTTCAGAGGGTGGAGTGAGATGTTTCCCAGTTAAGAGCCAGCACAAGGATAAACTATTTAGTGTATCCATTCGCCACTTTTGAACTCATTGAAACTGGTTGACGCCGCTATCACCACTAATATCCAGAGAGATAGATCCAACAGGTACCGTTGGTACGGCCGCGTCAGATAAATATGTCAGCGTTGTCCATCAATTGTCTTCCTACAACGTGGTGGAAGAAGAACAACTGGTGGTTTCGCAAGTGAGTGAATTTTCAGACGTAGGCATTTGCTGTCCTTGCCAGGACTAGTTAAGTCAAGATTTATGTGACCGGATGGATGCACTTTACGCACCTTGCAGTATCAACTTCGGATGAAGTTAAGTGATAATAAAATGTGCAGATTTTTATAAATGGATACAGGATTTGGAAAAAGATGCACTGATGTCACTCGAATTAAAGCGTTTCCCATTCTTGAGCACTGTGCTCAGATGGCTACACAGAACCCTCGGTTAATTTTCAGTCGACAGCGTAGTTTTAGTTTCACATTAGCTCATAATTGGTTGCAACTGAATTAAATGCAACAAATTGTTATTGGTGCTCAAAATCTGGATGGTCAGTTAGATAGTAAGATGGTTTTAGTTTCCTCGTAAGTTTTTGGACTGAAATAGTTGTAAACATATCCGCAGTACGTAAAGCAAAATAGATGTTCAATGAAAAGGCAACGGTCGATTCAGAGTCTCCGTCACGAAGTCCGCTTGAGCCATCGATTCTCCGTATTGGATGAGTAAACAAACTGTCTTCTTAGTGAGTGACGAATAAGCTTCCACGAATCAACGCGAAGTCTGAATAGCGATCAGGATATGTGGAATTGTCGATTATATCCTGCATAAAATAATTAAAATCGCTTTCCATCGCAGTTTTATTTCATCAGGAAGTCCATGTCGTCCGTCCCTTGCCATCAGCTTGATTTCTTGTACTCTCACACACCGTTCGCCCGCTGCTACTTTATTAGTGCCAGCGACCTCGTATTTTCGAAGTAGCAAGCGACTGCCGGCGGTCGCGTGTCAGCGAAGCGTCCGTACCAACTCACAGGCGTATTTGGAACAGTCCGCTACTCCCTTGTTCGGAACTATAGCTGTACGCAGGGAAACCGCGGATTTTTGATCCACCGTGTGCGGGTTACTACTTTTGCATCGGATTACTGTGTTATAAGTGTTCTTTCTGTGTGAATTGTGCACTAATCTTCTCCTTTTGGTGTATTTTCCAATGGGTGCAAATTTGGTGGATATTCTTGGGTTAATTCCGTAAATCTCATCGCTTGGCCCAACTCCCATCTGTGTCCGCCATCTTGGATTTGCTCTCTCTTGTGAGGTTGTCTCAAGTTACTTGTGGTTGGTGTTCGGAAGTTCTTGGGCATAAGGTTCATACACTTCGGTGCTTCGGTTGCGATGTTTTGTTCCATATTTCGTGAATTGGCTTATTCATTGACGTGTTTTGAAAATCTCTCGACATCGGACATCGGTGTTTCCAAGTTATATTTGATAAATGTAACGGCGCAAAACATCAGAATACACAGCGACCGCCCATAACTACGGGAAAACCTCTCTTCTAGACAGAAACAAGCCGTTCATCATGTGGGATCAAACACCCTCGTGAAAGTACCTCTGTCACCTCGCCTTCCTTTGGCACTCCGCGATCCGCACCACCACCAGCGTCTTCGACCCCTGCCGAGCCTCAGATTCAGTGTTTCCCACCGATTGAAGACTCAGACTCGGAATCTACGGAATGCCGCTTCACTGATCGGTCCGTTATTTTCTCAGAGTCTGTCTGTGAACCTCTGAATACCGAGGGTCCATGGACCACTCAAAAGCGCAAGGGGCCACGTAATCGAGTTCAGGCGGCCCTGCTGATAAACGACCACCCAAACCGATAAGCGCTACTAGTCTTGCTTCCACAGCTTCATCACCGATTTTGTTGACGCGTCATAATCTCATGGTCTTCCACGTACCAGAGTCAAAAGCTGAAAACCCCCAGATACGCTATGATCGCGATGTCGAGTTCCTCCAGGTGCTCGTCGATAGACCTTTGGATGTGGGCGAAGACAGTATGACGATTAAACAATTAATCCCACTTTTACGGAAAAATACTGACAGAAATCTGCAAAACGGATGCAGAGCTCTCAACAGAATATTTAGCCAACCACAAGAATGAAGGTAGTCAGTAATTATGACATTCTAATAAAGAACGACGGTCGTGCTTAAACGCAAAATATCAGGTGAATTGTCTGTAGCGCATGTCAAATTTCTAGTTGAAAATGACCTTCAAGCGCAAGCCCATCATCATCATCATCATCATCATCATCATCATCATCATCATCATCATCATCATCATCATCATCATCATCATCATCATCATCATCATCATCATCATCATCATCATCATCATCATCATCATCATCATCATCATCATCAATCATCATCATCATCATCATCATCATCATCATCATCATCATCATCATCATCATCATCATCATCATCATCATCATCATCATCATCATCATCATCATCATCATCATCATCATCATCATCATCATCATCATCATCATCATCATCATCATCATCATCATCATCATCATCATCATCATCATCATCATCATCATCATCATCATCATCATCATCATCATCATCATCATCATCATCATCATCATCATCATCATCATCATCATCATCATCATCATCATCATCATCATCATCATCATCATCATCATCATCATCATCATCATCATCATCATCATCATCATCATCATCATCATCATCATCATCATCATCATCATCATCATCATCATCATCATCATCATCATCATCATCATCATTTTTTTTCCAACTCAAGTCCACATCGTGCGCTCCCATGCCAGTTTGTTCAAGTTTATTTTGTCATATATCGTTATTTTTTGTGATAAATTGTTTAATTCTCTATAATTTGTGATTGAGTTATCCAGTGATATATGTGAAACCCTTTTTGCAGTAATTTTCTCGTTCTTGTCTACCTAGCTTCTCGTCGATCCTGGTAGTACCTTGCTCGTGTCCTATCCAGTCCAGTTTATCTCGTTCTTTTCCTTGTTATATCATTTTGGTGCTCTAGTTGGCGTAGTTCACTCAAATTAGTTATTTGGCTTTAATACTGTATAACTACCTGTACTAGTTTATCATAACTTTACTTCCTCATTACACTGATTTTCTCGTATCGATCGGTACCTATTTTCGAAATGGTGAGGCAGTCACCTTGTGGTGTTTGCTGCAAAGTCGTTGGACATCGAGCAAATGCGATTACATGCAATCTCTGCAGTGTAAAGCTTCACATTTCGTGCGGTGGTCTGTCTGTAGACCAATTTCGAGTAATTCAGGGGATTCAGAACTAATTTTTGAAGACCATTTGTAACCAGTGCCAGTCTAAACCTGGGCAGAATAGAACCGACACGCCTAACAAGCGGATCAGTACAACGAAGTGCTCTAAAATGTCCAGCTGGACTTGTACTACACCACAGTCAGGGAAGCAGCCAGCGCTTAGTACAACATCGCATCCATCCCGGAAACAAGATCCTAACGTTTCGTCAGGCTCTCCCTCAAGGCGTACGATGTGTTCTGTTGACAGTAAAGCTCCAAACGTATGGAAAGTGCGAACACCAAAGAAACCAAGAGCAATGTCTAGCAACCTGAGGCGCCGCAGCCTCATGGTCTTTCACGCACCTGAATCATGTAATTCTAACCCTCAGGTGCGCTATGAACATGACGTCGAGTTTTTGTCATCTTTGGTTGATAAACTGCTCGACGTAGATGAGGGCGGGCTCAAAGTGCGGCAGATCGCACGTCTAGGAAAGAGACTGGAGGGCAAAAGTCGACCTATGAGGGTGACTTTTGTCGAAGAGGCAAGTCCCAACTTACTATTGTCCCATCTTAATAGGCTGAAGAGTCTAAAGATCCACGTGCTCGCAGACATGGACCCGGCATACAGAGAGAAATTTAAGTCTGCTATGATTGAACTAAGGCGACGCACGGAGGATGGAGAAACAAATCGCCGTATTGTAAGTTTTCGGGTAGTTGCCCGGATTCCTCCACGAATCCGGATCAACAGGTTTCTAATGCTTCAGACGCGCCCAACGGTTCCTACCGCGGTCTGCACGTAGCCTTTACTAACGTGTACAGTCTGATGAACAAGCGCAATGTGCTGTACGACTTTGTAAGCTCTCAGCCACAAGACGTATTAGGTCTTGCTGAGACATGGTTAAACTCCGAGGTAACCGCCCAAGAAGTGGAAATCATCGGCTACTCATGCTTCCGCTGTGATAGACCATCAAATGATCGCGGTGGCGTTCTACTTTACATAAAGTCTTCCTTGTGTGGGAGACTAGTGAGCGCCTACCAAAGCGCTGATGGTTTATGTGAGCAGTTATGGTGTTCGATCCACCTCAGACGCTGCGAGTTGCTAGTGGGCGTGGTATATCGCAGTCCACTGAGCCGCTGTTTGGACGGGATGCCGCTTGTCCGCAACAAGATGAGTCGTCAGGTTTTCCTACTCGTGGGCGATTTCAACTAGCGCCGAATACAGTGGCCTGAGGCTGAACTTCTCCCCGGCCACTGTGAAGTCGAGAGGAAGTTTGTGGAGTTGATATTTAAAACCGGGGCCACACAGCACATCAACCAACCGACACGCATTACTGCGCGCGCGACTCCATCGTGCTTAAACCTACTTTTGACTAGCTGTGAGCAGCGTGTGCATGACATTCGAGTCTTACAGCCTCTGGGAGCGAGCGACCACTCGATGATCATAGGCAGCTTGGAACTACCATTGCCGTATTCTCCCCTGCTGGAGACAGTCTTCAACCATTGGAAGGCGGAATTTAATGGCTTCATTCGAGCAGCGAGCCAGATAGACTGGTCTTTACCACAGGATTCGTCTATTGAAACCTGTTGGACTATCATTAAAGAGGGAGTGAAATCGTTGTGCGCCCGATTTGTATCCCTCAAATTTCGGAAGTTGGGCCAGTCAAACCATACTGGTTCGACAAAGAGTACAAAAACTGGCCAGACGACGACGCAGACTATGGAACAAATTCGTGTTATCTGGCTCTGATGAGGACTACAAGGCGTACAAGATATAGCGAAATCGTTGCAACAACGCGAAAACAAGAAAACGCAGAAGCTTCGAAGAGGAGCTTGTAACCGCTGCATAAACTGCTGCCAAGAGGATCTTCGCATACGTGAAGCGGCGCTTGAGGCCTGCAGCCAATGTCCCAGTGTTAGAAGGCTCAGATGGACAACCCCTAACCTCAAGTACAGATCCTGCGTCCGCATTGGCGAAGCACTTCGCTTCCGTATTTGCAAGTGATCAGGTGTCTGTAACGAGTTCGACGAGTACCGCTCTAGCTGAACTTGACAGCCTGGACTGCAATATTGAGGATGTACGCAAGCTTCTAGCAAATCTTGACGGGACGAAGCCTGCTGGGCCAGATGGTATCCACCCACTGATCCTCAAGTCCCTATCGGCCATCATCGCGCCTTCTGTAACTGAGCTGTTTAGCAGGTCACTATCCACGGGACTATTACCGGACGACTGGAAATGCTCAGTCGTAAAGCATATACCAAAAGGTGGTAACCCAAGTAAATTGGATAACTACCGGCCGATCTGCCTGACTGCCGTTTTGGCAAAGACGCTAGAGAAGATAGTGAAGATGAGCCTTCTGCAGCTTCTCGAGTCGAAAAGCCTGTTGACCTCCGCACAACATGGTTTCATGAAAGGTCGTTCGTGCATCACCAACCTACTGTTGACGAGGCACGAATGGTTACAAGCGCTGAACCAAGGCCAATCAGTCGACGTCATTTACATTGACTTCAGTAAAGCTTTTGACAAGGTAAATCATGCAGTGCTCCTTGACAGGCTGAGGATGTGCGGTGTTGGTAGTTCGCTGCACCAGTGAATCAGGAATTTCCTTGTCGATCGAAAGTGGAGGGTCCAGGTGAACAATCGTCTAACCGACTGGTATCCATCGACCAGCGGCTTGCCCCAAGGCACTGTACTGGGGCCGATTTTGTTTCTGATCCATGTGAACGATGTGCCTCAGCTACTCAGATCACCTTGTGCGTTGTTCGCAGATGACTTGAAGGTGTGGAGAGTAATCCGCACACTCAATGATTGTGATTTACTTCAGCAGGATCTCGACCGCCTCTCCACGTGGTCTGCAGAGGTCAACCTTCCGATGAACCCGGTCAAATCGCAATTCATGAGGCTGGGTAAATGTGAGCACAGCCAAACCTACACGGTGGCTGATCAACCGTTGCATCCCGCGCCTTTTGTGCGCGACCTCGGTGAACTCGCGCGCTGCGACCTAAAGTCCATTGACAACCTGAATAGGCTGTGCAAAAACAGCCTTCGGCTGCTTTAGGCGCTCAGGCGCAGCTTCAGCACATCATCATCATCATCATTATACACGTCAGCTAGAGGTGTAAAAAACCTCAGCTACTGTGCCACAAATACAAAAGTTGCATGCCAGCTGAGCTACCAGCAACGGATAGGCATCGTTCCGGTAAGCTACCAGCCGGCTACTAGGCAAAAAGAAAAAAATTATTATGTTTTACGCTAAGAAATGAGATCGTAGGTGGAGGGGGACGCTAAAAGGGATGGGGAGGGACAAAGGAACTCACAGCAGGAACGCCACTGAGGTCGGCTCCTTGCCATGTCAGCAAGTGTATCCAGCTAAACGTGTTCACCGTCTTCGGGACCCCAACCAGGGAGCCGTGAAGCTCCAACCGAGGCCAGCACAGAAGTGCGGGCCTTCATTCCTCTTGACCAAGTCATCGCTCGGCCATCCCTCCTCTTCTTCCGTCCACATCCCTGGTGAGCAATCAACGAACGTCGTGGAAGCCGATGGGCTGGTATGCGCAACACATGGCCCAGCCATCGGAGCCTGGTGCGCGAAATAACGGTGCTGAGCGGTTCAGTTCCTTTTCCTGTGCCGTAAACAAGGCGTTGAACACGCTCGTTACTCATGCGGTGTTCCAACCAGATGTGAGCCAAACTGCGAAGGCACCGGTGGTAGAACTTAACTAGCCTCTTCATGTCCGCCGATCTTAGGGGCCAGTTTCGCAACCGTACAGTAAGGTTGAACGTACCGCTGTATTGCACACTCTACTCTTCAGGGCGAAAGTAATGTCGCGCCGCCGCCATAAGTGGCGAAGGTTAACAAAAGCACTTCGAGCTTTTGCTATACGGTTCGTGATCTCGTCTTTGATCCCAAGGGCGCTGATACAACTTCCCAGGTAGTTGAATTTTTGTAAGACTTCTAGCTGATCCTCACCAAGGGTCAGCGCAGGAGGCGATTCCTGCCAATCTTGGAGGAATCGCTTTGCATTTCGATGGTGCAAAGCAAACCCCGAAGTGGCTGACAGCCAGTGCTAATCTGTCCAGCATAGCTTGGCACGTCTGGGAGCTGTCACAGGTGAGGGCAATGTCGTCTGCATACTCCAAGTCGAGAAGTCGTTCTCATGGGAGTAGCTCCACATCTTCCAAGTCATGTCCTTTAAATGCAATCTCCATGACTTCGTCAATAGCGAAGTTGAAAAGGAAAGGTGACAGCGGGCATCCTTGCCTCACACCGCTGGAGATAGTAAAGGGCGACGACAGCTTGCCGGAAGCCCTCACTCTGCCGGTGCTACGTGCGTATAATGCTTGGATAATATTTACATATTTCTTATTTCCTTCGGGTGGATATGCGACATCTGTGCTATCGATCCAGCCGGTAAATGAATAGGCAGCGATGCGGCGTAGGATTGATGCAATTCAAGATGACTTGGAAAATACTGTCTAATGACGACAGCGGCTGTTCCAAGGGCGGACCAGGTTGACGACTATCGCT